AAGGTCTTTTTCACCGAACTACGCACCGCCGAGCGCTCATTCACCGCCTAGAGGTCCGAACCAGATGCCAAAGTTTTAGCACGTACCGATAGATGACTTATTCAAAAGTTGCGTGATTTTTTGAAGATTTCAATGGAAAAATGGCGGCCGACGCAGCTCTCGAATACATCAAGCTCTATGCAACAGAAACCGAAAACGGGCAAAAATGAACTGTATTTTCCCATTCAGGTTTTGAACGTGCTGAAACTTTGGCATCTGGTTCGAACCTCTAGCGCTACCTTTGGGTGGAGAATGAGCGTTCGGGGTTAATTAGTTTATTTTTGCGATAAAAAAAAAAACATTGATTTTTTTTTTTTTTTTTTTTTTTTTTTGGGGGGGGGGGGGGGTGGGGGTGTGTGAGGGGGAAACACTGTACATAAAAATTTAGCGCATGACGAAGCTGAGCAAATGAACTCCTTGGGAAAATGAGCACAGGAGGTCGAGGGGAGGATGTGGGAAGAAAGAATGCAAGAGCTCAACTCCTACACAAATAAAATAGCTACATAACAAGGAGCATAATATTCTAGATAATTCTTGAAGTTTTTTTGGTGTCCGAAGCTCGAAGGGAAGAGTTCACAACCAGAACATGCCGGGTGAAATTTAAGGATAGAGCCAGTTTAAACTGCGGAACCCGAAGCAGCCAACACTTCCATGTCCTGGCAGTTTGGCCGCCGTAAAAGAGAGGAGAACGACGGCAGAGGGGAGAATCTCCGCAGGTAGCGCTATGCTAAGAGGCGGTCATTGCACATCGGGCAATGAAAGTTTTGGTTTGACAAGTGACGCCATCTTATGGGGAAGTTTTGAAACTCGCAGACGTCCGGCGGCGGCGATCACGGGACCTGATTCAAGCTCGAATCTCCAAGTGCCGTTTCGAACTGTGACGCAGCGCTCGTGTTCAACGCTCGCGGTGACATGGACCTCCCAAAGTCGCCCTTTTTGGCCACCAGCCGCACTGACTAGCAGCCGACCGAGGCGCCTCCTATCCACTGCCCTATTAACCGCGAAACTCAAAAGCACGAGCTGCCGTCGTATGTTTGATCGCGCCTCGGCTGTATGGACGCTTGTCGTTGGCGCTAGCAGCATTTGCTCTAGATACTCAGTTGCTGTCCGCTCCTCTCTTTTTCGGTGGCCTATTTTCTCGCTTCTGTGGCCATTGTCACAAGCCCACCTACCGACTTGGGGCAAAAAACAAAAACAAATTAGTCATTAGTTGCTTATACAGCAGGAGTTTAGTCTGCCAGAACATGGCGCCATGAATACCCACTGCAGATGAGCAATTTAGCCAGTGCGTTACAACCGCTAGCCTGGGGTCTGTGCACCACGCAGTAGTGATACACGGCCGCACACCGGTACGATGCTCATCTAGATCGAAACGGGCAGGTGTGGGGATTGAACCCAGGATCCCTGGGTTCGGCAGCTCGAACTCACTTGGGGAAACAGCGGCAACAGTGAATTACTTGAATTCGCTGATAAAGAAGTAAGAATTATTGACAAAAACATTTTGTTCGAAAAAAAAAAAACGCATTCAAAGATTGTTTGAAAGGTGCAACGTGTAAAATTGCGCACAAAAGTTATGGTACTTCTTTTGGAGGTCAGCGCGGTGATACTAGATAAAAAGTATGCGAAAGAATTACACATAAAGTACAGAACACGGACAGCCCATCTTTCGACTTTCAACACACGTATATTTTATTTTCCACAGGCAGCGGACCTTGGGGCAAACGGGAGGGGGAGGCAGGTAGTCGAAACCAGCCTTTTGGTCAAAAGAGGGGGGAAAGGGGGGGGGGGGGGGGGGGGGTTAAAAATGACACCTTGCAGCACCGGAACGGAGCGCGGGAAGTGCCGAGAAACCGAAAAAACCGAAAGCTCCCCCACCTCTTTTCCCCTTACCCTATCATAAACGTACATTCCCTCTTGTTGCCAAGGCCACACCCACTGCTCTGAACGGGCTGACGAAAAAGCGGGGCTGCATGGCGAACACGCTCTAGTATGCCATCAGATGCTGCGAGTCAATAGACTCAGTGCAATCCATTTTAACGATAATGAGAAAACTCGAAAATTCAGACGAAAAGGCAAACAGCGCGCAGAAAACGGGGACTAGAGGAAGTGCAGACAGGACAAGCGCTGACTCTCAACTGAAATTTAATCACAAGGAAACAAAACAAAGAAAACAGCAACTCCGCCCACGTCACATGACAAATTCACCACGTGTCCAAAAAAAACATCTCTTTGAAAAAGATATGTTTTTTTTGGTCACGTGGTGAATTGAAAAAGAGATGTTTTGAATTGAAAAAAACATGTTTGAATTGAAAAAAAAAACATCTCTTTGAAAAAGAGATTTTTTTTTGGACACGTGGTGAATTGAAAAAGAGATGTTTTTTTTGGACACGTGGTGAATTTGTCATGTGACGTGGGCGGAGTTGCTGTTTTCTTTGTTTTGTTTCCTTGTGATTAAATTTCAGTTGAGAGTCAGCGCTTGTCCTGTCTGCACTTCCTCTAGTCCCCGTTTTCTGCGCGCTGTTTGCCTTTTCGTCAGTATGAACCAACTAACCCACATCGCCACCCTTATTCGAAAATTCAACCGCGCGCGTTGCATTCTGGGAACTTTTTGGCTTTTGGCCAGGAGCCGAGCGCGTATGGATTTTGGTCTTTGTTCAACGTCGTGCGGTGTCCCGAATCGTCAGTTGACCCCGAGCCGTGCACAACCAGGATATTGTGTCAGTGCATCCTGATGCAGTAATTATTACTCTAAGTACTCGATAGCCTGAAATGCTGGGTGTAAATATCCCGACATACCGGTTACCAAATCGAGGTACGGAATCGGTCCCGGCACCGATCGAGGTCTTTGTTTCACACGGGGACCTCTGTGTTTTGGGTTGGCGCACCACATGTCAATAATCTGTACTTGGGCCAACATTCTTCCCCTTGACAAAGTAATTCTGTGAGCTGCGCAGGGCAGGCTTTCTGAAAAACTTAGGCTGACACACTACGGCGGTTTTCATTCCCGAAGCCCCTTGTGTGCGTAGCCGTGATCGATACGATGGTGAACGCACAACAAGATTTCACGTTGCACCGCTAACCTTTTAACGCATGAAAACGTATAAAGGACGGACAAAAACACATACAACGAAGGTTATGTTTGTACATCCTTTCCCGTTTTCCTTCCTCAGATGTGATTACCGATACTAACACGCCCGTTTCCTCACTACTAAGTTCTGTCTCAACCTATACGAGTTCTATTCTGCATTGCGAAGTTAAACGCGAATGGCAGGTGATCAGGGTTGATATGATCAAGGACACGTCAGCGAAGAACTCGGGATTAATTTCGACCACCTGCACAGACCGCGTCGGCCGGGTTTCGAGCCTGCGCGTAGACCAGTGTTCGGAAACGCAACCGACGCGGCTGGCATTTGAGAACGTTGCGTGGATCGCGGATTTTGCATCCAGTTCAGTGTAGGCCGTGCGTTTTCAGTAGTCCGCAGTGGGCGGCTGATCAGCAACCCACAACCCACCTCCCCCCCCCCCCTTTTCCCTCTCTCGCAAAAAAAAAAAAACAAAAAAACATGTTGTGCAATTAGCTTGCGATGCTTAGCATGCATACACAGTCATTCGCGAATCACAGAACCATAATAAGCATAAGGAGCGACCCGGAGACCGAGAGACGACGACACGTGAGTACGACGGTGCTCGTGAAACCGTGCAACGATCGAAACCGAAACTCTGCGGGACAACTGATTCCCACAATGCATAGCGTGGAATTTCGCCGAGATCGAGGAGAATAGAAGGGTAGGAGAAGGCATGACGTCACCTTCGGAGCAGAGTAGCGCAATCTAGAACGCCCTCTCTCGGCGACTAGCGGCGAACGCCCGGGGGTTCCAACTCCGATCATGGGGAACGTGAAAAAATCGCTGTTTCTTGATTATTTTGGTGATGTGCGGAACGACAATAGTTTTTGACATAATAAAGGAACAGTTTACAATAATTGGCGCTAAGTTGTGTGCCATGTAATAACGTTTTTTGTTGTTGTTATTTTTTTTCAAAATTGCCTAAGCGGCATCGTGCAGCAGACGACGCGGTGACGTCACACCATTCACATGACCCGCTCTGACCAATCCATAAAGTCCATCTCCGCTGCGTTAAACAATCGTCTGCTTCAAATGCCATTGCCTTGGAAATCGCCTTCTCAAAACTTTCACACGCATTCATTATGAAAAGTTTGATGAAGTGTTTAGTGCTTTACCAACTTCACGACAGACTAATTTCGAAAAGTGTGAACTCGCCATTTATTTTTTAATCAGCCGTGTTGAGTCGATCTCTATGTATTCTCCCATAGGGCGGGCCGCCTCCTGGAACCCTGAGTACCACATGACTCGCGCCAAGCTGCTCTGTCGGCCATGTTGTCCGCAAAACACGCGGATCAAAGGATTGCGCTACTCTGCTCCGTAGGCTACGTCAGCCGCCCAGCCTCCACAAGCCATGCTCCTTTGACGCCTCGCCTCTTTCTCATTTTCCTCCTTACTCTCGTCACTTATCAGCCCAGCACGTGACCTGCCGGACGGAGCTGCTTGCTTCACGTCTAGCTTTTGATCTGATAAAACCTACCGGACAGAGAGCGCGCAGGCCTGCAAGGAATGATGCTACAATCAACCATCCATCTCGAACGTGACATGTCACGCGCACCAATTGCCAGAGAGATCTGGGGTAACGTTGGGCACAACATTACAACGCTTTCTCTCTCGTTTAAACTTGGAGCCAGTGATCAACGCGCCCGGTGCGTATCCATTATTGGCCCTCTCCTCGCCCTCGCCCCCCCCCCCCCCCCCCCCCATTCTTCACTTACAACGCTTACACATACACATATTGCAACGTGCCCCCTCCTAGTACTCTCCTTGCCCGAGATGAGGTGCTTCAAAGGGTGGAGTAAGTCAAATAAAAAAAAAATCAGACAAAATTTATTACAGGTGTAAACATTACACACCAGATGGCGCCACGATACGTTCAAAGCTCGATATGGCGAACGCAGCGATGAAGGTGCAGGATTTGAAAAGGGTGCTGAAGGCACGGGGCCTCTCCACCGCTGGCAACAAGAGTGAACTCGTGGAACGCCTACAAACAATTGGGGATGCTCCCAAGGACATTCCGCAGGATCTGCATGGTGTCATTTCCAGTCTGGAGTCCCCGGGCAGCCGCAACATGATGGCGAAGGAAGACGAGGTGACTTCCGAAAACAACGATATCACGGCAACTCCTACGGCTACACTGCCCGATGCCCAACGTAACCTTCAGTCTCAGGAGCTCCCGGGCAGCTTTGAGGCGGCGACCGAAGATGGAGGGAGTCTCCCGATGACAGCCAAAGTCGACACGGAAGAGTATGTTGATTGTGCTGACGAGCTCTTAACCGAGACGACATCTGCTCCAATAGTGGCTCGGGACAGTGCTTTTCCGCCCCCCCCCCCCCCCCCAACGCTGCTAGGGGATGCACAGGGCCAGGCCGGACGGACTGCAGTGCCATACCCCCGTGCAGTTTCCAGAAACCAACACGCTCCCGGACTCCGGACCTACTGCCAAAGAAAGTCTGTACGAACACAAGGACAGAGGTACAGATAAGAACCGGCTTCACCCGTCTGCGTCGACCTACGACCTGGCAGTAAAAGAGATGACCCAGAAGGCCAACAAAGATAACATGTCATCGTCAGACAGGGGGCTTGTGAGCAAGGGGTTGACAGGGGAGCGCGCAGGCTATAACTGCAGTGTTTGCACCTCACTCGAGTGTGCACAAACATCGCAGCAAACTAGGCTTGAAGAGCTCGGAAGTCAAATGAGCGAACTGACCAATCGTCTACAACACGCTGATGCAGAGAGGAAAAAATTTGACCAGATGGCTCAGCGGCTGAAGAGGCTTGAAAATATGTGGCAAGAAAGGTTGGAAAGCAAGGAAGCACTGCTGAGTTTGATGGCCCGATGCGAGGGACTCGAAACAAGGCTCAACAGGTTGCTGAATGATCAGTTAGCAGACCTGCATGTGGCGTCACAAGAAGACACCTGCGACGACCAGGGGGTACTCTCTACCTCGACGCATAAAACGCAGGCGTCCCAGACAGATCTACTGGGTATTAGGGGCGTGGAGAAAGCAAATGAAGCTCAAGAAGCCGAGAGCAACAAGACAAGCGTGGATGACACGTGCCCAAAGTGTGCCTCAGGCGTCAATAGAGCTGATGGTAGTAAGGAGAGACTAGGACGACAGTCACTCCTGTGTCCCCCAGATAACAACAGGGAGACGTGCAGAACCTTAATGAGCCATGAAAAATCCACCCAGCGATTCGTACGACCACCCTGGGGCGTAAAACGGGAGGTTTTAATTGCTGGAGTCCATAATGTAGGGCAATTTGCACAGACTCTTCATGGAGAGATGACAGATGACCAAAGGTTTGAAATACTGATGAACAGAAAGGCGACTGTGGCAACAGTTCATGCACTGATCGCAGAGTATGAAGGACAGGCGAGGAGAATTCCTAGGATGTACATCCTACATGTTGGGATGAACGACCTTTTGCAAGGACACCAACCGGATGCAATTGAGGAGTGCCTAGAAAACAAGTGGAGAACGAGAAAAGGTGCCCTGGTGGTTTGCTCTATCCCCGAAGTTACGAGCAGAGGCAAGGAGATGCAGGCAGCAGCTATGCTGTTAAAATGCCAGGCTCAAAAAAATGTGCAAAAAAATACGAGCCAAATATGTGGACCTAACTCGGGACCTAGCGATCACAGCCACAATGAAGAAGGACGGGCTGCATTACAATAAAGAAGGTACCCACGTGGTGACGGGCCGCTTAGCAGAAGTCGCGGAAACTTTTTTAGGCGAGCGGAGGAAGAGGAGAAGCAACACAGGAAATCATTGGTATCCCAAGCAGTTGGACGAAAAAAGCCTGACACAAAATACAGAAGAAGTAGTACACCACCAGGTACGCCGCCGAGGCCTGGAAGGAAGTCAGGTGTACGACAGCAGACCGGAAGCTCCATCGCCGTCCAGAGAGACCTGGATGGGATACCCCCAACGGCCGAGATTCAAGTCGGACACCAGGGGTCAAGTTGTCCGGCCAATCATGGAATGCGCCACAATGCAGGGGAGCGCGCTCCCAGAAACGAAGTCTTTCATGGGGGAATTAGCACCATCCAGAGAAAGAACCCCAGCGGTCCCGGTACCGACGTGCCTCCATCTCAGACAAATGCCACCATCAACTTGCATGGACCCACCATGGGTGGCGATGCCGAACCCACGGCAAATGAATATGGGACTATACCCGTTTGTGCACAACTCGAGTATACCAGGGTGCTATCCACTGGACCCACCCCCATGGATACAGGCCATGGTGGCACAGACTGTTCGGAGGCAGCTGGAGACCACCGGACAGGAGTAAGACAACCCAGACGCTGTAACGACGGTGATGTAGTGAAGGGCCGAGTTGTGAGGAGAAGACGGCGGAAACACCAAAACACGGTGACGGAAAGAGTTGGGTTTCTCAACCTCCAGGGAGCAAGACGGGAGCAGAAATGGCAGGAGCTCTATCAAGCAATGGACACTGAGAGCATCGTGCTTTTTGGGGTTGCAGAGACACACCTTCGTGACCTTGAGGAACCGCCTATTCACCCGGACTGGCAGTCGACCGGGTGCAACCGGCAGGAAGGTCAGCGAAAAGGAGGGGGAGTAGGAATCCTGGCAGAGGGAAAACAAGACCTGCCAAGACCACATCTGGGTGACAGGAGAACTGTTACAGTGTCCAGTGGCAGTGTGCGTGGTTTATCTTGCTGTGGGAAGTGCGCGGGAGGATGAGAACCAAGCGAGTGTGACAAGTATTGCCAGTGATGCGAAGGCCCTCGGCGTCGGTAAGAATATTTTGATCATGGGAGATTTCAACGGCCATCTTGGTGAGTTGGACGGGTGGGAGGACAGTAATGGGCGGCGGCTCCTATGGCTAGCGGAAGAGCTGCAACTTGAGGTACTCAACCTGCGGTCAACATGTGAGGGACAGTTCACATGGTGTGCTCGAGGAAGCAAAACCTGTATTGATTATGCTTTAGCGTCTCACCGTCTCGGGAAAAGCATTGCTCGAGTTTTGATAGACGAGGGCGGCGAGCACAGCCTTGGCGGTGATCATAATCGCCTCAGGCTGGACTTCAGCAAGGCCACTTGGAAAAAGACACAGGAACGATATCAACGCCCACGGCGAACTTATTTGAGCAAGCGGACAGTGGCGACTATCATGGAGACATTTGAGAACAGTGAAAGCAGGAAACAGGCGACTGGATATCAAGCCTACATCACAGTGCTTTAAGACCTGATTAAGCGACACGCACCAAAAAGGCTCGCTGGACGCAGACGACGTAAGAGATGGTGGGATGGTGAGGTCAAGGCAGCCATCCATGCCCGGCAGGAGGCTAACCTGCATCACCGAATGGCGCTCCGTACAGGAGAGACACACGAGATTGACAAAAAATGGCACAGTTATCAAGTACTGAAAAACAGAGCTAAACAGTTGGTCCAACAGAAGATAAGGACTGCGGATCTGGCTACTCTCCGGGACATTAGATGCAGCGGCAGGGACGCACCGATGAAGTTCTGGGCCTACCTCGGAACGTTGGATGGTAGAGACCAGGAAACAGCCATTATTGACGAAAGCACAGGGGAGGAACCTAGCAACCTTGGCACCCACCTCTCGGATTACCTGAGGGAGAACTTTACCACCGAAGAGGATACATCCTCTCAACCGGCGCTACACACAGCAGAACACTCGCAGGAGGAGGTCATCGGGTGGGTGACAGTCTTACGGGCCTTCGCGCATTTGAAGATGTCTACGTCTCCGTTCCTGGACGGGATTCCGGCTTCGGTTCTTAAATCGATGGGAACGAAGACAAGGCAGCAGATGGCAGAGATCTTCAGTGCAATCTTCAGTGGCTCAGAACCCGTGCCCCAAGACTGGAGGCTTGGTCGGGTTGTCTTGGTCTTTAAGAAGGGAGGCAACCGATAACATCTTCAGGACTATCGGCCACTTACAGTGACTTCCACCATCTACAGAGCCTTCGCACATATAGTGAAAGATTACATGGCAGCATGGGCAGAGGAGAATGGGGTGTTAACGGAGCTGCAGGGAGGCTTCCGTCGGAGTCGCCGACTGGAGGACAACGTTTTTACGATCACCCAGTGTATTGAGGTCGCCCGCAAGGAAGGAAGAAAACTCCTGTGCTGCTTCCTTGACATTGCGAAAGCTTACGACAGTGTACCTCACGAGTTATTGCTCCAGCACCTAGAACAGTTAGCCATGCCACGGCAGTAATTGGCCCTCGTTCGATGCCTGTATTCGGGCAACGCGGTGACAACAGAGATGAATGGTGCCAAATCGGAGCATGTGACTGTAACAAGAGGTCTACGACAAGGCTGTCCGCTTTCTCCTCTCTTATGTATCCTCTATGTTTCGGGGCTAGAGAGGCGCTTGCTCCAGTCGGGGGTAGGATTCTCTTTCACCCATTTAGAAAAAGGAGAGCCAGTGAACTGGACGCTACCAGGTCTCACCTTTGCGGATGACATCGTACTTACAGCGGAGAGTGTAGAGTCACTACAGCAGCTTTTAGTCATTTGTGTAGAAGAGGCGGATGCGCGCTGCCTTCGCTTCAACAGCAAAAAGTCGGCAGTCGTGCAACTAGCCGGACCTGAAGAGCCGCGTCTTGGTCACTGCGTGCTGAAGGGCGAACGAATCCCCCTGCAAAGCACCTATAAGTACCTAGGTAGTCTACTCACAAATAAGCCAGAATACCTAGCGGAACACCATCTCCACCTCAGAAAGACGGCCGTGCGAAACACCAGTGTCCTTCGCAAGCGTAACCTATGGAGCTGCAATCGATTTCTGGTTACAAGGGAACTCTGGAAAGCAGCCATGGTCCCTGGCCTAACGTTTGCTAATGCTGTTGTGTGCATTCCTGGAGACGTGAGGGACATTCTGGAGCGCCGGCAGCGCGAAGTTGGGAGGCAGGCCCTAGGCTGCCATGGCATGGTGGCGAACGAAGCTGTCCAATGAGATCTTGGATGGTCATCGTTTGAAGTTAGAGAAGCAGCTAGCAAGATCGGCTACGACGGGCGTCTGCGACTCATGGACCGAGGACGGTGGGCCAAACGACTATTTGTGTACATACACCTGACAGGGATACAGACAAAGTGGAGAAAGCGACTGTACCAGCTGGAAAAGAAATATGGCTTCTTTACCGTGCCCGTGGCTGCCACTACAGAGCAAAAGTGGGAACTGGAGCTGCGGAAGAGAGTGCGCGAGGAAGAGGCTGTGCAGTGGTCGGAGGCGGCCCGCTCAAAGTCAACCCTGCAAGTGTACAACCGCTGGAAAAATGAAATATCGACAGAGACAACCCTGTATGATAATAGCCTGGGCAGCCACCTGCTTCTTGAAGCACATGCGGGAAGGCTAAGAACGCTAGTGTACAGGCAGCGTTTTGACCAACAGGTACAATCAACATCATGCCGGGCATGTGGCGAAACCGAGGAAACTATCAAGCATATTGTGCTCTCCTGCCCAAGTCTCGTACCAAGACACCCGGTGGATTGGGGCCAGGCGACAGACAACGGGCTGCATCTAGCCGAGGCACATTCACACGAACAATTTCTGGCAGAAGCCCTCGGCTTCCGAGTTGGGGACACAGGCAGGGATACTGTGTGCTGGCCCAGTGCGGACTTAAATCGCGCTGCAGTGGCACTGCAGCCCAGCTGGAAGTGCAGCGACGCAGTCGAGAGAACTAAAAGGAGGCTGGAGGACTGGTGGCGAAGGATGCAACAGTAGTGCAATTTTTTTTTCTCTCCGTTTTTATTCGGCTAGGTCTGATTTCTATTCAAACCGCCCGCTTCAAAGGGAACAGCCATAAAATCATCATCAATCGTCATCATCATCATCATATATTGGGCAGGGTTTGTTTCCCCACACCACGGTGTTCACTCAACTCAAGGCCTGTGCACATGCCCACAGGCCTTATGAGCATGTCCATGTCATCTTCTACAATAGAGGAGGAAACAGGCAACGATGGACAGGGTAGAAAGGGGGAGAGAAGGAAGCGAGAGAAGAGTGGAAAGCGCGAACTGGTCGCCGGAGCACCCCGAAAGCAGTCGTCAGAGAATGCGAGCTTGACCCACTTCGGCTTTTGTGCTGAGCTGGGCACAGTGCATGCTGCATTGTTCATGCAGGCCGGGGAGGTAACAAAAGAGACCCTGCTCTCCCTCACCCGAGAACACGAACTCCAGCCGAATGCTGACGCCACGTTCGGTTATGTCGGCCGAGCACTGAGTCATTGTATTTGTTGTCCCCATCCTATAGTTAACCGCTTGGGGCGTCACGGTCGCTCCTCCTCCCCATATCTAGCGAGGGTGGGTGCATCTCAAAACCTGGAAAGCGTTTGCAATTTAATGGCGGCGCTTGAGGAAGAGGATTCGGCAAAGGATATGCGCCAATGTTGCCTGCACGAGAGTAGACGCCCGCTCTGTTGCAACTCTGTTGCTCCATGCGCCTTTCATCCTCTAGCAACAAACGCCTTGGCGCAGCCCAACACCTCCTGCGCAGCCTCTCTCGGTTCCTTCTCTCTGCGAGAAAGGAGAAAGCAGGGTTGCCAGACAAGCAGCAACGTCCAAGATGGCGGAATTTAGCATTTTTCGCGTTAAAAAATACTTAACCTATCGCAACGAAACTGGTGGCTATGGAAAAGTAATCATTTATAACTTGTGTAAATTATTCAAGCACCTTAATAGGCTCTTAT